TGCATAAAAAAAAGCTTCAATCATATCGCAGGTAACATAACTGATAGCTAGTATACTTGAACTATTTATAAAAATGAACTGTTTTTCTAGTATCACATAATAACGTTAACAATAGAAGATGTGAAATAACAAAGAAGAAACATTACGCTGAACAATGAACAAATTTTAAATCAATTGTCTCTTTCTATTGTCGTATATTTATTATTTTTTTTTATGAATCATATTTTTTCCATTCCATACCCTAAAGAAAAAAAAGTTAAGGTTATTTATTTTTAAAAATAATTTAAATTAGTATTAACTTACATCAGGTGGTTCACAGGTAACTTTACCTTTGGACACTTCTTCCCAATTCATGTTTAAACAAGTACCACCTGATTCGTACTACACAAATGGAATTTTTTAAATATTTAATTACTAAAAATCAAGATATTTAATTCCTACCATTGACTTGTTCATAGCCCGACGAGTATTTTCATCACTATCTCGATAAAGTTGTTGAAATATTCTAAAAAGACAAATATACAAATAATGAAGAACACTCAAAAAAAACCGTCAAAACAACATACGCATTGGCATCACCCGTATCTTCTTTATTATCTTTTTCATCTTTCTTTATTTCTGCTTCAATTTGACTCCAATTTTTAGCTCGTTGACTTGATGATGGATAACTTGGAGCTTTGTCTGTTACTGGTCGACTCATTGGAACTAAAGAAAAAAAATTCCGGAAAAACCTACCTCAAACATAAAAATAACTTTTCTTACCCGGTGGTTGTGTTTTGCCAGCTACTGATTGTGCATCTAATGAAGTCCATTGAATAGCCTGTCGTTTGTATAATTTTATTTCAATCTAAATTGAATATAGAAAAGAACAAGATGTTCTAAATAAAATATAATAAAAATATTAATCTTACATTTGAACCTGTTACATTAAAATTTGTACGTGATGAATCAATAGGATAAGCAAGATCAAATTCAAGTGAATAATCATTGCCAGTTGCAGGAATTTTTGTTTCAACACTTAACTTAAATGATCAATAGAAATTTAAATATATGATCAAGTCAAAGTTAATCAAAATTAGTATCCTCCATGGATATGACTTTTCGTAATCGAACCCGGATTGAAACTAACCGACATCCGACAGATACTTTCAGGGCCATAGTACGATTTTCAAACTTTTATCTTACATAAAAATGTAAACTATTTAGTATCTTCCATAAATGGCAACAAAAAAAAAGAGATCATCTGAAATTCTACAAAAAAGCAAATGCATCAACTGATTCAGAATCCATTGAACGTCTTGCAACTTCTAAAATCTGACCAATTCCACTAAGTATACGTTTGCTTATTACTGACGACGTTGGAATAGAACGCAATGCTAATGCCAAACGTTTTAATTATGAATATATACTTGAATACTTTTTCATAATTCATTTTTTTTCTCTGTGTAGTCAGTTACTTCGTCATATGGTTTATCATCGTCTATAGATGAATTTTCATTAAAAAAAAACAAATTCTTTTAGTAAAACAATATTACTTTTCACTCCTATGCTTTTATATAAATTAGCAGTTTGAAAAAGTAAAAATATTTTGAAATGCCGAGATTTCATCAATTGCCAGATCAGATCCGAATATGAAGACATACTCGGAACCCGAATCGATCCAGCGAGTTTGCATCCGAACCCATGCTTCGAGTTGGACTAGGTGCCGGACATACAAATCGGTTACAGAACATTAAGCAAAATACGTACAGTTGTATCTGTAGTTTGAACTTGAACTTGTTCTTTTTTTAGACCTTTAATTGGTATTTGTATAGTAACAACGGTGTCTGTTTGATAGAATGAATGTCTATTAAAAACAATTAATAATTATAAATAAAGCACAAAAAATAAAGAAACAGAGATTTAAATATACTTTATTTTAGCTGGTTGTGGTGGAACAGGAGCAGCAGTTGCTGCTGGTTTTTCTTTTTCAGTATTAGTAGTTGCTACCGGTTGTTTTTTATCTAAATTAAAATAAAAACAATCACTTGGAACAAATGAAAAAGACATTCTTACTTTCTACTTCTTTTTCACATTTTTCTTTCCATACTTTTAATTGATCATCAGCAGCTAAAATAAAAGACAACATAAATAAATAAATTCAATAAAATATAATAAACTTACAATCAATTTCAAGACCACGAACAAATGTTTTCAATGCTTCTTCTTTTAAATCTTGATTATATAATGCTGTACCTTTACGAAGATATGCTTTCATATTTTTCTCATCTAATTCAATAGCATTATTACTATCATTTAATGCATCTAATAGAAATAGGATAATATTCAACAAATCTGACAAAAAATATATTTATCTATCTTTACCAGTATATCTTTTTAATTTCAATGCACATTGAGCACGTGCTGCTAAGACTTTAGAAGTAAAATGACTATCTGTTTTATCATCATTAGTAAGGGCTTTGGTATAAAGCTAAAAGAAAAAGAATGTTTTTTTTTTAATCTCTATAATATAAAAACCAATATTCTTCAAATGACGAACTTCATATGCTTCTTCATATTTATCATCAACAAAGGCTTCATTTGCTTCTTCAAATGTTTGTTTCGACATGATTGTGAACTAAACGTCTATATGACGAACGAAGGAAGTAAATGAAAAGTTAAATTAACGAAATATTATGAAAGAAAAAAAAGCATATAAAAGATCGAATGCCATTCGTTAGCGTGTTTTTTCTCTTTTCTATACTCCCAAACATGTAAGATGACGCAAGATGTCGGTTAAATAATTCATCCAGTCAAGATTAAATTATCAAAAAGACAATATTTATATCAATTGAAATAATAGTATTTTCTTTCGAAACATTAAATTAGGAAATAATGAAGTGGTCGATTCGAAAAAGTAACCAATTTATGCATAAAAGAATAAATTTTATGTGGATCGTAATTTTGTTATTATTACTTATATCAAAGTAAATGAAGGAAACAAACATAAATTATTAATATCATCGTCGACTTAGTTTCGTACAAGTATAGATTAAGAAGTATTATGAGTGCTGTAACCAGATAGGAGCTAGAGAAGACTAAGCTCTTCATATCAACGGCTGAGTTTCATTTAGAAAGGAGCTTGAACACCTATTCCTACAGCTTTTATTGGTTACGTTACTAAGTCCCATATCGGTGTAATTTATTAATATCAATACCGATAGTTGATATTAATGTTATATCTGAATAACTATAAGACTTCAATACTAGGACGATGATATTTCAAGATTTCAATGAAAAATTTAAAATTTTTCTTAGCCAATGAAACTTCTTAGTTTTTTTTGCATCTATACAGAGTCAGACAAATAATGAGTTGCATATTTCAAGTGCGCTTATATTTGCTCGAAGTCTTTAGCCATGATTCAGTAAATTAATACCGTTTATGGTCCGTTTTCAGTCAATTAGCAACAGTAAAAATATGTACACTAAACTTTCTCTATTTTGGCTGTTTGATCGTATGTAGAAATCGAGTCCATATTTTATTCGTATGATAAAGAGTTAGTGTATGATCTGTTTACAGTACGTTACGATCATCCAAATTCATCGTCAATATTTTTGTAAACGGATCGTATTAATACCGAAAATGATCCAAACCTCACATTCAATGACATTTGTCCAAATGCTTTCAGTTTTATGATCTTTTCGGTCCTCTGTCGAATCGTATAGAACTATTTACATATCATATGGTTGGATCTACGAGTTGTTCCATTTCATATATGATTTAGTTACACAGTACGACAGACATATATTAGTTCAACTTGGAAAACTTATTGATCGACTATCTTAATTTTTAGTTAATTACAAAAAAGAAAAAGTGCAATAAGTTGTATCAATATTATATATTGAAAGAAGTCAATTATAACAGAAGTAAGTAAAGAACAAAGAAAATTGAAACATGAAACGAATATCGAAAAATTCGGATTATTCAAAACCTAAAAAGACATTACGCTGATTTTGACGGCGTTTCTTCTAGTATGTTGAATAAATCATGAAAAACAAAATGCTTGCTGTTAATCAAACTCAGAAAATTAAGAAATTCGTAATAGTCTGCTTTGCTAGCCAAATTTTGTGTTTAAATGCATTCAAGATTTTGAACATAGCAAAACTAATGAAAATCACTACAATAGCTGATCAAAACATGTAAATTTCAAAAGAACAGACATATTTTAACGAAATTTCAACGCATTTTTTTTCGAAGGTCATGTATCTGTCTGTGTACTTCTTTATTAAAACTATGCCAAATTAATGCGAGAGTTTTATTTGAACATTTTATCATATGATAAATTGTTAAGAATTAAGAGTTGAATTTGAAATGTTTTTTGTTTTTGTTCAGTATTCTTATCCAATGCGTATTTTATTATTGATGAAGTAAAGGCAATGATGACACATGTAACCCTGAGATGTAGAGAGCTGCATGTTATTCCAGAGACGGGATCTGGTCCTAAGTTTAATTTATTGTCCACAAAAATGTGAACTCGCAGTTCCTCCTACTGAGATGATAATAAAATGACGACATATTGTACAGATTTATTCTGAATATTCTAATTTTTTCTTTAATAAATATATGGTGGATCCATAAAACAATGGGAGTGATTATAAACAAAATTTTACAAAGCAGAACAAAAATGGTATATATATATATATATATATATTCATTGGGTTTTTCGATAGATGGAGGTAGTTATCGAATATTCGATTTATCGATCGTTGAACAATTTTTCTCACATTGAATATAATGTATAAAATTTTTTTATGAACATTATTTTGTATTTTATATATAATATTTTCTATTAGTTTTTTTTCATTCGTCAATCACTCATATCCTCATTGTGCGTGTTCCTGTATTGGGAAAGCGTTATTTATTTTTTTTTTCTTTCTTTTCATTTTAATACAGCAATAATCATTTTTTTTCTCTTCGATATTCAGATTTTTAGATCAATAAAACTATTTTTTACAAAATAATGTCCAGTCACGGTCGAGATTCCGGTGGTGGTGGTGACGAGTAAGATTTAATTAATTAATAAAATTTATATTGCTTCAATATATATATATATATGTATATACGCAGACATGGAAGTGGTCATTCAAATGATGATTATAATTCAGGACGAGGTGGTAGTGATCGAAATAATTATGATAACAATAGGTGACTGTTTTCAAATATAAAAATTTAATTGATTCTATTTTTGTGTATTATTATTATTGTTAGCGGACAAAAACGAAATTATTCTGATCATAGTTCACGTGGTGGAGAAGGTGGAGGTAAGAAAATCTTTGTCGACTCTTGTATGTCGATTTTTGAACTTCAAAAATTGACAATTCATACAGGATGATAATTGGCGCCAGCACACACTTTGTCCTCTCTGCAGGTTATGGAAGCGGAGGTAGTGGTCACAATCGTGGACGAAATGATAATAATGAAAGTGGAAGTAGTGGCTATAGTCGTGGCCGAAATGATTATTCAAGTAATAATAGTGATAATTATGGTGGCGGCGGCGGCGGCAGTGGATTTAATCGTGGTCGAAATAGTTATCAAAATAATAGTGGCGGTGGTGATGATTCGCGTATGGAAACACAACGTGATACAATTTTTATTCAGAATTTACCTCGAAGTGTAACTGCATCGGAACTTAAGGATGTATTTAGCCAAATTGGATTGATTAAAGTAGAATATTAAATTTTTGTTTTCAATAGTTTTGAGGTTGTTTGTTTGTTTGTTTCTTTTTAATAGAATGATAAAAAGACAGGTGCACCAAAAATTTGGATTTATAAAGATAAAGCCACTGGCGAAGGTAAAGGCGAAGCCACAATTACTTATGATGATGAAGAAGCAGCACAAGCCGCTATCAATTGGTATGATGGTAAGAATCTATTTTTTTGTTTTTGTAATTAATCATATTTATTATTTGATTAAAATAGGAAAAGAAGTTCTCTCAAATATTGTTCAAATTTCTTTGGCTACTAGACGTGCTTCAGCATTCGGTGGTCGAGGTGGTTCTCGTGGTCGTGGTGGATTCCGTGGTCGAGGTAAGAACAAAATTATGATTTTTCTTTTTAATATTTATTATTTTAGGTGGTAGTGGCGGCGGCGGCGGTGGTGGTGGTGGTGATTTCGGTGGCTATCGTGGTCGTGGTAAGTGTTTTACGAGGAAACCTACCAAGCTGTTAATTGTTGATCGAAGTAATATTTTTCTCATAAATAGGATTCAGTGAGATTAAAAAAGCTTGAAAGAATTTTTTCTTTTAGACATTCTTTATGAAATTATAACTGTTTAATCGGATTTTTCATCTATAAATAGGTCTCTTAATTCTTAGAATATCCTGAAGGTTTCAGCCAAAACAAATGGTTCCTTTTCAACATATTGAATACTGAATAAAATTTGGCTTGATGACATTTTTATAGCATATGATTATTTTTTTGAATATTCAATATTTCAAAAAGGAACTATTCGTTTTGATGGAAACTTTCAGGATATTTTAATCATTTTGAGAACTATTGATGGACAAAATTTCAGGTGAACAATTCTTTTTAATTTTTCTATGAATATCTTGCCATAAGCCAAAAATCCGCTAAAATACTCATAACTGCATAAGAAACGTCTATGATAAGTAGTCCTTTCAAGCTTTTCCTAGTCTCACACTGAGTCCTACTTATGAGCAAAATATCATTTCGATCGACAATTAACAGTTGGATATGTTTTCTCGTTAGACTTTTAAAGTTATCCTACTACTTGTTTATATTCATTCATAGGTGGAGATCGTGGCAGTGATTATCGAAGTGGTGGTGGTGGTGGTGGTGGGGGCGAATATCGAGGTAGTGGTCGTGGTGCAAGTCATGGTTCGAGTAGAGACAATCGTTCTAATCCATATTAAAAAAAAGAAGTATTTGGGTTTATGATGGCAGTTGTCTGAATAAAACAATGACAAACATTCGCTACCCCATGTACACAGCGTATTGATGTCTTTTTTTTTCTTTCATTGTTTGTTTGTTTCTTTTTTTTTTCTATTGCTGCTCTAAGCTTTCTCTTTTTCATATATGTCTTTGTCTTATTCTTTCAAAATACAAGATACAGAGACAGAAACAATCTATGTGGTTATGACTTGTATTTTTCTTTTTCTATATATATAAATGTGTATGTGTCTGTGTGTTTGACAACAAAATTTAAAAAAAAAACAGAGGAAGAAAGAGAAGATTTATATCTAAATTGATTATGTGACTAGGTGTTTTTTTTTTGTCTTATGATATTGCAGATAATGTTAAGAACATTAATCTATGGTGCTAGACAAATTGTTACGGTAACACGTAATAATAATGAAAAATTCCTATGCGGAAAAGATATGCACGCTATTGGAGTAATCAAATCGGATGCAGGTGGTTTAAGTTTAATGATTGAAAAGTGAGAAAAAAAAAGAAAAATTAACTAAAAAAAAGTAGGTGAAGGGTTTCTAATGTTTACTAATCTTATTATTTAAAACTAAAAAAAAACCAAAGAATTAGAGTTAACTACTAAATATTGATATACATTTTTATTTTTCTCTAGTGAAAATATTGTTGCAATTGGAACTGATGATGCTATTGCACGAGACTTCGAAGGGATGGAAATAGATAACAAAATCGATGCATCTGGATGTTGTATTCTACCAGGTTAGAAACAAATTTGAAATTCTATTTATCGAAATGATTATAAAAAATTTATTTGTTAAGGTTTTGTTGATGCACATACGCATCCAATATGGGCAGGTGATCGAGTTCATGAATATGCAAAAAAAGTATTTATTTTGTAGATCTTTTTCTTTTTTCACTATCGAATATTTTTTTATGGTGATGTAAAATAGTTGGCAGGTGCAACTTATATGGAAATTATGCGTGAAGGTGGTGGTATTGGTTTTACAGTTGAACAAACAAAATTAGCTACGGATGAAGAACTTCTTATTGGATTAGTTGCTCGTTTGAAACGTATGCTTCATGCTGGTAAGTCTTAATTTCTTTTGAATATTTTTCTATTGTTTGTTTGTTTGTTAGGTACAACTTATGTTGAATGTAAAACAGGTTATGGACTTGAATGGCCTGATGAATTACGTTTATTAAAACTTCTTGAACAAGCTCGTTCATATATACCAATTGGTATATCAATTACATATTGTGCAGCACATGCAGTTCCAAAGTATGAAAGATGAAAATAATTCTTATGTTGATTTATTTAAATATTTTATTTAGAAATAAAACAGCCGAAGAAATGACAGAAGATATTATAAATAAACAAATAAAAGCATTGAGACAATTAATTGATAATAAAGAAATAGATGTTAATGATATTGATGTTTTTTGTGAGAAAGGTAAATTTTATTTAAATAGATATTAGATACGTTACAGAAATTTCGATCGTGACTGAAAATTCTTCATGACTTTCAGCCCGAGCTTAAATTGACCTCAATAACAGCTATAAAAAAAAAGCCTTATTTCTTTAATTAATTGCTACTTTCCGAAGTACTGAGCAGGACGACATAGTACTCAAGGTGTGAGTCTTCTCTTCAGTCGCATTCAAACACCGTGCACCCATATCGAGCAGGTCCTCATCCACACCCCAGCACTATGCCATCATCTTGCTGAACAGTACAATGTTATGAAAATGTGTACTGTATCGCACTATAGAATCCAGTAACTAATTAAAGAAATAAGGTTTTTCTTATAAGAGTTAATGAGGTCAATTAAAGCATAGATCGAAAAACCAGGAAGAACTTTTGGTCCAAACTAAAAGATCTTCGGAATTTTGAACCGAGCCGAAATTCCGGACCTCCCTATTAGATAATTTACAAAATGTGAAATTGTTGGTTAGGTGTGTATGATATTGAACAAAGTCGTCGAATACTTCTTGCTGGTCAACAAATTGGACTTAGCATCAATTTTCATGGTGATGAACTTAATTATACAGGTTCAGCTGAAGTAAGTCGTTTGTTTTTTTTTCTGTGGTCAGATTTCTTTATTTCTTTTTTTTTGTTTTGATAGATGGGAGCTGAAATTGGTGCACGAGCTATTAGTCATTTAGAGTGTATTTCTGAGGAAGGTATCCGTGCCATGGCTAATGCAAAGACATTTGCAGTTATTCTACCTCATACGGGTTATATATTAAGAATTGAAATGCCACCTGTACGAAAAATGATTGATGCTGGAGTACCGGTAGCTTTAGGAACAGATGCAAATCCAAATGCTTTTTCATCAGCTATGGTCTGTTTGTTGCGTTTATACAGTCGATGAAGAATTCTTTTTTTTTTTTGTCTTTCGCTTATTGTTTTAGTCCATATCAATGAATTTAGCTTGTGTTTTATGTCATATGAGTTTAGAAGAAGCATTAGCAGCTGCAACAATCAATAGTGCTGCAGCATTGGGCATCTCGGATAAATACGGATCAATTGAAGTAGGAAAAAAGGCAGATCTGATTATATGTCGATGTCCATCGTAAGATACTGAGTCATCTATCCTTGGTTTTTTTTTCGATTCATTTTCTTTTGTTTAGATGGGAACATATTATTTATCAATTCGGTGATCATACTCATATAATTCGATATGTACTCAAACATGGTGAAGTCGTGTATGCAAAAAGCGCATAATTATTCTTTTTTAATAAATTAATACAGACTTACTATTCTAGCGTAGTAGTTCATTTCAAAGTGTGAAATATATTTTATGTATCATTTGCATTTTGTTTTTCTAAATATGATGTCTAATTTTAATTTTATAACAAAATACTCAAGTTCTATATTTTTTTCGATGTATAACTCAACTATAAAAGTATCCCAATAGAAAAATAGATAGTTGTTCAGTGTCTTTACTTTGTTATTCAAATAATCTAATTATAAACAGTTTTATTCTAATATAGAAATAAAATATAAATTTTTTGAATATTTTTGTTCATGATCATACATCTGTTTACATTGCAAAACAAAATACGGCTATGAACACAATTGTGAGTAAGATTTTGAGTTTCTGATATTGACATAATTGAGTATTTATTTTTTTTTTTGAAACAAACAAATTCAAAACTCTCGACTTAGTATCCAAATATATGTACTCGGCAGTTCATAAACACTTAGAAATGTAAGCCGATCAACTAAACCACTGCCGCTGCCAACGGTCAAGCCATTCAGCCGCGATACAAAAATAAATGTTTAATTTTTAAAAATTTCCGACATACCAAATCAATTTTTTGATATGTTACTGTCTAGTCTCTTGTCAATTAGGTCTCTATCATCTTTTTCTGTTAAAATTTCTCGAAACTAAGAAAACTTTGTCGAAAAACTTCGGCCATCAATCAATGCATCAGTTTATGCCTCTATAAGTACTTTAACGCTTCCCATCAGAAAACCTAATTTTTCGAAAAAAAACCGAAGTTGTGCATTTATCATAGAATGATGGAGCAGAATTTCCTCTCAGAATGTCCATGACTTTCGGGGAAAAGGCTGGATTTTGACAGACTTCTGGAGGAAATTTTGATTCTACTATCGTGTTTTTCAAGAAAGTTTCCTAGTCGTTGCTTAAATTGTTTTTAATTTTGAGAAGACTATCGTTTCATTTGCATCAGCGTTGTATAAAGATTCTTATGTAGTTTAAGAACGACAGATGGTGCTTGTTTATGTCATCTATTATCTGCTTTTAAAAATTCCGCTTGAATACATACGTTATCAGTATGCCATTTTTTTTTCTAGATTTTAATGAAAGAAATTATGTCTAAACTTATTTACCATGTTTTTCAGAACATAATTTTCAATCAGAAAAATTGAAACTTTCCCTACCTGCTTCAAAATAAAACTAAATTTCATTTTTTAAAGATCTAAATAAGAGTAAACTTTTGTTCGAGTAGATTTTTTATCGTTGGTTTCTGTATCGAAAAAAGTGAGGTTTAGTATCGTGAAGTGACATTTTGTTTTTGTTTATATCAACATCATATATGCCTCAAGGATCATAAAAAATTAATGGAAGCGAATTTCAAAATTCTGTTCGAATAAAAACTGTACGAAGACATTGGCTTTAATTTGAAACCATCACGACCTCTGTACTTCTTCTAATGACTAGGTTATAAAAATTCTCCTAAATGGATCATGAATAAGTCGAAACTTTGTTCTAGTTTGACGTGTTGTGGACTGAAATATTTATCAGAAGCATTTCTCACTGGAGCCACTCATTCCTACAAATTTCAGCTCAAATAAACTTTTCTAAATGGTAAACCTATTCTGAGAAGAGATTCTTGAATCAAATACTCTTCCATCAAAACATATTTTAAACTAAAGAAATGAAACTTCCAAATGAATAAATCTTCTCAAATTTTTTCCTATTTGATTTTTGCGCAGTTTATGACGTATGCTTTCTCTCATACCTTTAGAACTATTCTCTTATCAAAGAATATGAAAATTTCCTGTTACATTCATGGACTATTTTATCATTAAACCATGATACATTTGGATAAAATGAAACAACATCAACTTTTTTTTTTTTTTTTGAATTTTAAAATTACATCAAACAATAATATTAATAAACTAACCTATGTTTTCATATTCTTTTTACTCTTCGAAGCTATTATTATTTCAAGATATGATTTTCTTCACAGGAAAAAAACAATTTAAGAAGTAATTTTCCAAATAAAATATGAGAACACAAACTATTAAAATAAATTTACATACAAGGAAATTTTTTTTTAATTATTTTATTTTGTTTTTAGATAATAATGAAATAATGAGATTTGTTTGGCTTTTCATACAATCACTGGTCACAACAAAAATGAGATACTTTGTTTTAATATGCAACAAAAAAGCTAAATAAATCGCAATCAAACATCATTCAAAAAAGAAAATAATTATATCGTATCTGACTACAAACT